CGGCACCCACCGTCACGGCATCGGGCTCGGCCACCAGCAGGTCCGTGGCCCCGGTGGGGTTGGAGAGCTCGGGGCCAGGCATCATGTCTTCCATTTCGGAGACCCAGGCCGAGGTGGGGCTGCCTAAGCTGCAAGCCTGGGACTTCATCACCTTCTCCAGGATGGTGTCCAGGTCGGGCTGGCAGGGCACGAAGTCCGTCTGGATGGCCCGCTCCTGCATGCAGCTGGCCTGCACCCCTGCCTCCACGCTGCCCCGCAGCCCCAGCAGCTTCTCGTAGGTGGAGCTGGGGGGCAGGCGGGTGCCCCCCCCCTCTAGCGGGTCCGTATGGCTGGGAGCCTCCTCCGCCCCCGCGAAGCCGCTGTCGGCCCCCTCGTCCAGCGAGATGGTCTGCGAGCCCCCCACGTTGCGGTCCCCGGCCCCCTGGTCGCTCAGCTTGGTGTAGGTGGAGCTGCGGGTGAGGGAGCGGGCTGGGGACCCCCCGGCCGACTCGCCGGCACCCTCCTCCTTCAGCGCCCCGTTCTGCGCCACCTCCATGCTGTGCAGCAGCGTCTCCAGCTTCTTGTTCTGGATGTTGATGTCCACGAAATACTTCTGGAGCCCCTTGTCCTTCTCCAGCAGGTTGTTCTTCACCGTGTCGATGACCTGCTTCAGCTGCTTGATCTCCTTGCGGGCCTCCTTCAGCGCCAGCTGGGCCTCCACGCGGTGGCACTCCTCCTCGATCCAGTCCTCCTGCATCCGCGACAGCTGCGTCTTCAGGTCCTCGATCTCAGCATCCCTGCGAGAGACGGGGAGGACACCGCCGCGGCGCTGAGGGGGCTGCGGGGCCAGCCCTGTCCTCACATGCCCGGCACTGAGTTGGAGCCAGATCACCCAGTAACACCCATGGCTGGGACCCAGGGATGGATCCAGCAGCTCGGGGACGCTCAGGAGGGATGCTTGGGGACCCTCAGGAGCAATGCTCGGGGACCCTCGAGAGTGATGCTCGGCCCCTTCCCGGAGGGGCTGCAGAGCCCAGGCCTCCCAAGGGCTGCGTGGGGACGGGCAGGGGCCCCGGGCTGGCGCGTGGCAGCTGGCACGCCGGTGAGGATGTGCCTAAGCCCAAGAGGAGCAGATGGGGATTAGCCACTCTGACGCTGAAATTCAGAAAAAGCGTGGCAGAGACTTAACCAGGGGCGCAGGGGAGCGCACAGCCACTGCAGGTGGGACGTACAGGCTCTGCGTCCCCCGAATCCGCAGCTCCCCAGCTGGACGGGCAGCAACGCCAGATGCCCATGTGCCTGCAATGCTGCCGCAAAGCCGTGAACCTGGTGCCTGGGCATGAGCCCGAAGGCAAGACGCGGCACTGGGAACCGAGAACCCCCAGAAGGACCAGTCCCATACAGGAGCTGCCACCGCAGGCAGTGGTGGCTGGTGCCGGGACCCTTCCTGGCGGCTCCCGTGCCAGGGTGGTCTGCTCCCACTGCCCCCACGCTCACCTGTCCTGCAGCCGCTCCTGCGTGTCCTTCAGGCGAGCTTTCAGGTGCCTGATGCAGACTTCCTTCTGCTGCAGGGGCGTCAGGTACTGCTCCGGCGTCGGCGGCTTTATCCCATGGTTGTCACTGCAGAGGTTGTACTTGGCCGAGCGTCTGCGGGGACACGGCTGTCACCCACCCGCCGGTGCTGGCACTGGCATGGGCTCGGCGGAGGGACTGCAAGGGAGACGCCTCCTCTCGGGGTGCAGGGGGGTGCAGCCCCGTAGTGCACCCCAAAGGAGTGCCACGGGCAGGAGGGGCAGGGTGGGTGTCTCAGGGTGCCGTGCTGCCGGCGGGAGGGCGGGTGCAGCTCCCGAACCCACTGGCACAGCCCACAGCTTCACCAGGGCAGTGGGTGCATGAGCAGAGCCGGGAGCAGGCGGGCGCCGAGGTCTCCGCGTGCTCAGAGCGAGCTTTCTGGGGGAATGGCAGATGTGGATGGAGACCCCGGCATGGGATCAGCCCTGTCAGAGATGGAGTCGGAAGATGTGTAATGGGAGGGATCAGGCTGGAGCAGGTCTGGAGCTGGCGGCCGTCCTGCCCATGGAGAGCAAGCTGGAGCATCCGGCATCTGCTCCGGGCTGGGACAGTGGCACATCCGGACCCTCCTCGTGCCGCCACCGGGGCGGATGAGGTGACATCTCTGGCCCAAAGCCCAAGGCAGCATGGAGAGCAGGGGCTGACCAGGGACAGGGCTGCATGTCTGGGCTGGGAGGCACGCAGAGAGCATTGCACAGCACGAGATGCTCCTGCATTGCAGCAGGGTGGACCAAAACCCCTGTGCATCCCAGCAGGGCGGTGGGTACTCTCTGTGCATGGCAGCAGGGCAGCCCAAAACCCCCATGCATGGTGGCAGGCAGCCCAGCAGCACCAGCAGCCTCCGGCCAGAGACATAAGCATCGCGTTAGGAGCAGCCAGGCAGGACCGTGATCTTGCAACGCCCTGCGGCAGCAGGACGGCCACCGCTCCCTGCTGCGGTGTGCACGGGCTCTGTTCCCAGGTTACCCTCAGGCCCCTCATATCCTCCCAGATTTGATGCCACTGCTGGGAGGTGACTGGGGACAGGCAGGACGAACCCAGCATGGATGGCCCAAAATGCAGACGCACGCTGCTGTGGGGCTGGGGCCGGTGCCCCATCCCGCAGCTCGGTGCCCGGCTGGGTTTATGCCCCGAGCACACTGGGAGCTCCCCACTGAGAAGCCAGGCTGCCACCCGCTCTCGCCAGACCTCCGCCGGGCAGCACGAGGGAATAGAAATGCAGCTCTTGTCCGGTCCCGAAGGACCCAGGGTGCTCCTTGGGGTGCAGGAGCGGAGGGAGGGACGCGTGCAGTGTGCAAGCCACAGCCACGGCAGGACAGGAGGGAAGGGGACAGGGCAGCGGGCTGGCAGGCGGAGGGATGAGGAGGGAGAAGACATGACAATGGCGGCGGAGAGGTTTGGAGGAAGATGGTGGGGGTCTTTGCGAGACACACCAGCGGCTCCGCCAGCTCCGGCTCCCCCAGCCGTCAAGCGCACAGCCTCACTCCACCAGCCCCTGCGCTCCTGTCACCGCCGGGCACCGGCAGCACGGGTGCTGCTCCCCCCTGCCTGGGGGCACCCGGCAACTGCCCTGGGGCCACGGGTGATGGGTTACCTTGGGGTGGGGCTGCTGTCGCTGCCCTTGCAGGAGCCAGAATTGCTGCTGCTGCTCAGCGAGGAGGTGCCGTAGGTGTCCCTCCCAGGGGGCGAGGGGCGCCTGGAGGCAGGGAGAAGAGGCTGTGTCTCAGGCCGAGTGGCTGAGGGCGCTGAAGACTTAAAGAAGGAGGCAAAGCCACTCCGTCCATAAACCCCGCGACTGCCAACCACCACACCGAGAACACACAAGACAAAAGGACAAAACAAACAGCAGGGATCAAAATGGCACAGACACGGTGACGGGTGCAAAGGCAGGACTGGGGGGGGGCTGCCCACCCGTTCCCCCCCCGGCGTGGCATCCCCCGGATGCCAGCATGGCATCCCTCCACCCCGAGGACCAGGAGCCCCTTGGGTGCCCCCTGGGAACGTGGCCCTGGCAGAGCTCGAGCCACCCCGCTGCCCGGTCAGCACCTACACGTGGCAGATCTGCCTTTGCTCTCTGCCCATGCTGCCGGGGGCAGCCAGTTCCTAAATAACAGCAGCCCAGGTCATGGAGACATTTGGAGGGGAATAAATGCTTTTTTTCTTTCTTTTTTCCCTCTTGCTCTTTATCACTGCAGCTCAAGGAGATGCTTTTCAAGGGCTAACACACCTACCAGCTTCACCGCCCCAACCCCAGCGCCCTTGTGCCGCCGCTCGGGGCCGGGGCCCTCCACCACTGCCTGCCTTTGCCTGGACGGACAGAGGGGTTGGTCCCGGCTGCGGCAGAGA